GACGCGGGAGATTGACTGAAAGCGGTCTCGTGGGGTTGTATTTGACAAAGCATGTTTTCCAAGTCCCTAACCTAGTCAACCCTTCTCCTCCCCAACACACATTATGTTCACTGAGAATCCTCGCATGTCTCTTGGTTCTCTATGCCATTCCCCCCAGTCTAACCCATTTCTTCTCTTTTCAACTCTCCCACGCTGCACTTAAACCCTCGTACCCCATCTCCCCAGTGTGTACACAGCGGACTTAACTGTCTCTCAATTTCTCCATCCCAGTGGGTATGCCGTGAAAAAAAAAATGTAAAGGTTACCGTGCCAAAAAAAAAAAAAAATAAAATACTACCAGAACCATAATATTCTCGATCGAATCCATATCGAATCCATATCGAATCCATAATCATCCGGCCTAATCAGAATTATCTATTTCACTTCAAGCGTTACTTATTCACGTCTACAATTTTTTTACAATAAAAAATACAATTGTCTGTTAAAATGGTAAATGCATTTTGTGATAAATATTTTCCCTATAATAAACACAAAATATTTAGAAATATTTTTATGAGGTGAAGAGCACGGAGTATCTGCTAGATCTCGTGGAAACACAAAGGACTAGAAAAATTTGCTCAACGGGTGCAGTAACCCGCTCCACTTCCGTCTATTACTCAATAGGGAAAATGTCGACAGATAGCCAAGAGGTCTGAGCAACCCGCAGGCCATCGCTTATGGGTTAGCTTTCCATCGTCTTTCTTCCGTGTTGTCCACCAGCACCCATGAACCACCCATATACGTCATCGTGCCCCCTCCTCCCCCCCTCCGCCCTTGTATATAACAATCTCATGCTTCTGGCCTTTGCGCCCATGAGATGGCAAAGTGAATATGCACACGACCGTGATGGCTGCATCAGCGTCAGATGCAATATTGTTGGACACAGTCTGTGGGACAGCAATCGATCGAGTTAAAAAAGAAAAAAAAAAAATGATAAACGCTGCATATGCTCCGACGATACACCCGAAGTGGGAGACTGAGGATGCAAATATCGCGAGAGTTTGGTCCATCGGGGGGAGACAAGTGAAGAGTGAAAAAATCATCAAAGCCTTAAACACAACCTTCTTCGATATTTATTTTTAGTTCCAGCGAAAAAAAAAAAAAGAAAGGACGTCAGTTAAAATTAATCCAATCTCAAAGCTTTTCTGGTTCTTCATTTCTCCGTTGTCATTACTGGATCGTTTTGCTCTCGCTATTTTATCTCCATTCGCATCTTCACTCTATTCATTGTCTCAACTCTGTTTTTCGGCATTCCGTCGATTAATCGTGGAATTGACACTGGTGAAAGGCCATCCCCTTGAGTTGATAATTCACAAATCGAAAAAAAAAAACGTCGGACAGATGCGGTATAATCAGGGGTCGAGATTGAACCGCGGGGAGAAATAAAATAAAAAAAATTATGTACGGAGAGCTTTGAGAACCAGATGCAGCTCTCGAGATGGGGTGAAAGGGGAGGGGGGGCAGAGGGGGGCAATCTCACAGACATGGGACATGAACCAAGTGCGTTCATTGTGTAAGATTGGCGCGTGCGGCACGCGGACTCTTGTTTGCCCCCTTCCCCTTGGCGAAAAGAGAAAAATGCCCCCTTTTGCCAACGTCGCTCGCCCATCGTCTTTTTTTTTTCTCCTTCTCTCCTGCTTAAAACGGTGTAGTCTCTTTTGCATTGGGGGCCCCCCCCTTTCTTTCACTTTGCCCGGCTGCAAGAACCCCCTGCATTCCCTCCGTCACCCTCTTTTTCGTACATTGGTTGTCAGGGGGTGAGAACCCCCTCTTTCCAGATTCTTTTTCATTGTCGACTGCACATCTGCCGTATATACTTTCTATACTTCTAATCGTCGGGCAATTGTCCTGCAGAAGCCGCTTATACTCGAGTACAGAGTAAGACAAAAAATCATGGTGGAGGTGATTTTTGGGGGGGAGGTAGAATTGGATGAATTGATTGTTTGGCATTTTCAAAGTGCTTAGATCACCGATTTGAGGATGCAAGGGACGATTCAACCTTGAAACCCTAATTCATTTAATGGTGATCAGTTAAAAATGGCGCTGAGGGAATTTTATTTTCGCACAAAATTCATAATTCTGAGTAATAACTTTTATTTTGTCGAACCTTTCCAATTCCATTCGTGTCTTCCACCGTTTCGATTGTTTAAAAAATATCAATACCAAATTTTGTGGAGAGAATTTTTCGCTGAAATTACCAAAAATCGTAATGGCTTATTCCTGAGCAGAATAAATTCTCTCCCCGTTGGAATTCTGAGTAATTACAACCATAATTACACCAACAAACTCAAAAAAGTTGTAAATTGGAGCGATAATCGCGAGAGGGACGAAACCCGAGTGATTCCCTAAAACCCGACATTATCCCGGCACGCGTTGCAACCGGAAGGGATAAAACAGCAAAATGGGGGCCTCCAAGAACGTGTTAAAGTGTAAAATACTAATTAAGAAGGGGTGTTGGTGCAGGGCACACGCATAAACCTCCCAACGGTTTCTTTCACTCCTATTTTCCCATTCTGTTTCATCTTTTTTTATTTTATTTCCGCTTTCTTTTCTTCCCAACGCGCCACATGAATGTGCTCCTCACGGTTTGACGGGCAAACGAGCGACGACGCACACCGTCGCAATAAAGAAAAAAAAAAAAAAAATAGGTGTGAGGAGTGGCAAAAGTGGCAGTGATTCGCACTCGTTAGGCATATCTCCACGCACTCTTGCACGCCTCGTATTTCCTTTTTCCCTCAAAGTGAAACAACTTAACCGCAAGGTTCCAGGTTTTATTATGGCGACACTGCGGTACGTCAAATTCAACAGCCGTTTGATCTTAATTAAATCCACACCCGCGAAGTACCTAATTTTCTAATTAACGAGGGGATGAGTTTGCGAATCTTGAGAGTTCCACGTGTGGGACTTTGCGACTTGAAATATATTTATCGTTGTTTGCACCCCGGAGGAAAGTGACTGTGGGAAAGTTCATTTCATCCGTAAGAAAGCCACAAGGCCCCTGATTTTCAGGGTCAAGGCATTTTTATTCGGTCCTTTTCATTGTGAGAAAACGATGAGAACGGTTTTAAGTAGGGAGCTGGGGGTTTATTGTCGGTGGTCGGTTGACTTGGAATAACCGTTGAAACAGGGAAGGGACCAGAAAACGGCTCAAGAAACGATGGGAATCTTTGAATGAGTCTGGGGGATTAGGATAAAGAACGAGTAAGGCGAGAAACCTTTGAACGTGTTTTTTCTTCATCAACTCCTTTTCTCAAAGGAGCCCCTTCTAGGGCGGATTCTTTACCCGACTCTTGAGGTCAAAATGCAAATAACGGACTCTCGTTTTGAAGTCAAAAATCACTCTCAGTCTTCTTTACTCAATATTTATTCAAATTTTACCAATATTATTTATATCATTTATTAGTCGGGACATTCTGGTGCTGCAGTGAAAGGCCAACAATCGGGTCACTATCGTACGTAAGAGTGGTATAATGTGGAAAATAGAAAACAGAAGTAGAAAAGTGGAATAAATAATATAGAATGCCGGGGCGCATTATAGTAGGCATTAGGCAACAGTAACACGTCGTTCATTTCTCACGTTAGTTACCATTTTATTTTTTCTGTTTTCAGTCATTATTTCGTAAAAATCAATTAACAGAATAATTCATGCTTCGAGTAATCCAGTTACTTGTTGCTATAAAAAAACATTTGCAATTAATATGAGTCAATAAAAAATATCATGCAAGTGCCATGAAATTGAATTTTTTATTTCCCAAAATTTTTTTACAATTCAACAATTAATTTAACGGACAACGAACATTCAAGAAAATCATTGACTGAATTTCAGATGAAAATATCAGTGGGATGCCAAAAATAATGGCTGCAATGCTAGGGCTCAAAGGGCTTCTCCACCTCAAGACAATGAAGAGGCAATAAGAGATGAACGCCCGGTGTCTCCCTCATTATTATCCTAATTATACAATACCGACAATGAATGAACGGTATTATCACCTCTTCATTAAAAAAAACGTTAATTTCTGCACCCTCGCGCCCTTTCGCAGACTTCTCTCGTTTCTTTCCGCTTTCACGTGTCTCTGTATGGAATATTCTCGCTCTCCCACCTACTTTGGCATCGAAGAGTGGCAATTCAAGCACTCCAGGGTTGCTCTCTTGCTCGTACCATAAAAAATCCTCGTCGTCAACTAACTTGGCCGTCTCCACCCCTCTTAGCAGGCCTATTATGCCAGCATCCAGGGGATTGAACCACAAGTGAGAATGCATTTTCACACGGATGCTGTAGAAATACGGTTTGGTGTCATACGTTATCGTTCAGTCTTCTGTCTGCGGGTGTCTGTTTTTTAATTAGGCACTTGACAGAGATATTCTCAGTGATATACGACGGGAGGCTTCAATGCCAGCCAAGGCTGATGGATGGTTGGATAAGGATTATAGAGAGCAGGTGACGCCCCGTTGAGAGGTTATGACGGCTCGATGGATCGAGAAGACTCGGCGATACCTTTTTCATTACAAATATCTTCACTCTCGATACTCGAGATATCTTAATTGGCCCTTTCCCAGTTGTTCACCTCGTTTTTCACCTCCTCCACCTCCTCCTCCCCCTGGGGCAATTGTCTTGTTAGTTCCATCGGTTCCCTATTTCGACGTTCTCCTCAATTCAACTTGTTCTTAAAATGTTTCACCCTTTTTTCTACCCTTTTTTTTTCCTTTTCAACCTTGCCTTGCACTATAAGCAAATTACCCAGCAATTAGCGAGTTCAACTTCACTAATTACTGGGTGTAAACATAGCCGGAAGCTCGGGAATGATTTGTTGTTTTTTTTTTTTATTTCATTAGTACGGAGACGCGCAAGTCTTCTTGTGAATCGGGGGAAACTGTTTCGACGCAAGATTGAATAAATCAATGCTAACCGCTAATTGCCGGTTATTTAATGGATGGTTTTTTTTTTCATCGGTTTGTTGCAGGGAATTCTATTACATTCAGATGGAGAAATACGCGAGACAGGCTGTCTCGGAAGGCGTTAAAAACGCTGAGGATCTGAGGGTTGGCGGTGACTCGGAAATATATCGAGTATTAAACCTCCACTACAATCGTAACAACCACATTGAGGTATGGGGTCCACAGGTGCGCAAATATACGAACACGCACACTAATTTATTTATTTATTTGAATTTTTCGATCGTAAAAATTGAGCAGTAAATATGATTTCAGTTTCAACCGAATAATTCAGAGAAGTTTTCGCCTAGAGTTTTGAGAAATTAATGACTTCGTTGATTTTTTCTGTAATTAAAATCATCAATATTTTTCGAAAAATAAAATTGAGAGATGAAATGCAATTCTCAATGCAATTCACTGCGACGAGTAATGCAATAGTTATACTTATCATTTGAAAACAACACAGACTAACTTTTTTTTTCATAGACCACCATGAAATGATACTAATTATTGACTGGAATTTTCAGGTACCCGGTAACTTCAGGTACGTGGTAGAACAAACGTTAAAGGAATTTTTCAAAGCAATCCAGGGTGGTAAAGACTCGGAACAGTCTTGGAAGAAAGCAATTTACAAGGTGATATCGAGGCTCGATGATCCAGTACCTGAGTACTTCAAGAGCCCAAATTTCCTGGAACAACTCGAGTGAATCAGGCCAGCGCTGCGTTGCTCCGCGTGGTAGCCCGGTGAATTAAAAAGATACCTTAGACCTTACTATTAAATGAGGACAAAAGTCATACCAAAAAGTAATAAAACAAAAAAAGAAATAAAATTGAAACGAAAAAAAAAATGTATTCATCGCGATATGGCGGAGTTTGCTACGGAAAGTGGCCATTCGACGATGGACTTAATCCAGGTATCCCTTCAGTAACATATCGTGAGAGATGTAGGCGAAAATTGAGATAAAGCATGAAAATTTTGATTAATGCATGAGAAAGAAAATGCATAAGGTCGAAGGAGGATGAGGATCGACGTACATTAATTTGAGAGTGAGCGATTATTTCCAAATATCGATTACTAAGCTATTTATCAGGGAATCTAATATATTTGAATCATGTGCACGAAGTAGATGTCCTTCGCGTGTCAATCCAGATAAATCGATCAAGGGAATGAATTCATCACCTCGGTACTTTATTTTAATATTAATCCACTGATATATCCTGTAATGTTCCTTGATACGTTTATTGATTAACCAGAGTCAAGTTTTGGTCCAAAGAAATTCTGGAGTTCGAGCCTCGAGATTGCCTCGTTGATACTTTTTTTCAAATTAAAAGAGACGAAATAACCTGATACGAGGAAAAATAAAATTCAAGGAGTCCGTCATTGCTCAATTCTCTATAGAATAAATGACCGATGATTGATCCCTTGAATCGTCATGTGAGATGTTACGAACGACATGAAACTGATCGATCTGTCGCTTAGTTCCATGTCGTTTTGGTGGGGATAAATTGAATTGATAACCTGAAGTAATGCAGGCATCGATTACCTAAAAATTAATTCTCATCAAACTGGCTGTGCGTATGAAGACTGGCGATTCGGCCAATCAACGATGCATCCTGGGGATTTAATTCGGACTCTAGATATTTAAGATGTGTAAATAGTATTTTTAGAGAATTATAAGTTTTTAGTTATGACAAATAAATTGATAAACCGAGTGAATGTAAATTTTTATTAGACGAAGAGAATTCAATCGTCCTGAACGAATTAGTTGGATGATAGAGACTAGTCTGAGGGAAGATTAATTAATAACATCGCGAAGGCATTAATTGGGGACAACTAGGCGCGGGTTACAATAGATCAACAATATTGTCGATGGAATATTCGAGAAATTTTTGTAGATTCAACACTCACATTAGCACGAAACACAATTCATTGAAAACATAACATTGAAATGTTGAAGACATAATGCGGAATTTTATCTTATTTTCTGGGAATGGAAAGCACTTCCCCTGATTCTATCATACCCCGTGTTTTATCCCTTTTTTTTTAGTCAATGTTACACCCTGTAGATAAATGAACAGACCACTACATTATTCGATTAATGAGGTGAAATAAACAGAGAAAAATACGAGAGTTGTGAGGAGACACTGAAGCTGGGTGAGGGGTATTTAAATCCTCATAATTAAATTATACTTTTTACGAATTATTACATTTGTGTTTAACATATCCTGTAGTATGTTATGGTATAATTATTTTTCATTATAAATAACGTATTTTTATGATTATTATAACGTCATGTGGAGTATAAATACTATGATTAATAATTATGATTAATTAATTATTGCGTTTTTATGATTTCTTTTGAATTATCATTTGATTTAGAATTGTCAAGTATAGTCACTTAAGTTTCTGCAATCTTTCCTCTCCACTTTATGAATATGGGGTACCATTCACCCGACACACTATCACTTTCGCTAATTAACGGTGAGTCTTAACCTAGTCACGAATCACTATTTAATTGATTGATAACCAATTATTTTATTTATTATTTCACCAATAAAATTGACAGTAAAAATATGTTATTCTTATTATTTGGGACTCAACGACTGACGGACGATTATTTAAAATGATTTTTATGATGAAACCTTCCACCTCCTAATCCCGCGCCACTTCGGCATTGTGAAGACGAGAAATTAAAATTTTTGAGATGTAAAAATGTGATATCTCAGCCTGTGCTCCATGACTATTGTCTCGGCCTATTCAGGAACTTTAATATTGAAGAGAATGGCGAAATGAGACTGATTCGACGCGCGGAAGATGCTGGATAACTTCGAGATGTTAACGAGAAAATTTATCTTTCGGTCTAGCCTTTAAATTATGATAAATAGAAAAGTTAAAAATATGTTGTTGATCTCAACGAAGAAAATTTTCGTGATATATATTCTTGAAAGAGTTTTGGGGGCCTAAGGAAATCGTCGCTGTTGGCTCGTCACACTGTATAAAAATTAATACAAAAATTTTTCGACAAATTTTTAACACGACCAACAGCCGTCAACTTCCCCACGTCAAGACAGTCTCATTTCCCCGGGAGAAATAACAATGAAATAAAAAAACAAAAATACTTGTTAAATTCCGGAGCAGGACTGAGACCTCAATCTCGAGAATAATTCGTCGGTTAAAACTGATAAATAAATAAATCCCCTGATAAATGTCGAATATTGAGAATTCTCACCACCGAATGGTAGTCATTGAAACGTCGACATTTATTATTTGACTGGAACTATCATATTAAGCACGCAGCGAGGGCATTGGAGTTCAATTCCTAATGACGATTTTTTAAAAAATAGCAATCAATCGAATGATTTTCTGCTCCACACATAATCGAAATAGAAATCAATAAACCCCGGGCATATTCACAATCGACGTTGACAACTCGATATCTCGACTCACGAGATGAAACGATCAACGAAGACTATTCCGTCGTCGATCATTCCCCCCGTGAAACAATTATTTGTTCACGAGTGATTATTCACCGACTGGTGATTAAAATATTGAGTGAAATCAATCCCAAACGCGACACGGTGCGCTGCTATGATACTAAATTCAGAAAGCAAGGTACGTTTTGAGGGAAAAAAAATTTTCAAACGCCGGAGAAACTGATAAATTTTTGTCGAGTTATTATTAAAAGTGTAATAACAGTTATAATAGATAAATGTGTAAAGGAATAGAATTTTCGGGATGAGTGACGATGAGATGAAAGGCCGCGGTGACTTTCTTCGAGACTATTTAATAATTTAGCAGTGAGAGGGAATGGTGATGTCCGCGCGTATGTTTTAAAAAATGATAATTAAGCGACAAAAATTATAGGATCGCCCAACTCGCCCCATATCCGTGCACGTGCACCCGGATACTTTGATTTCACGTGAGATGAGTGAAAAAAAAATAATGATAATGCTCGACGAGAAAAAGGCGATTACGGAAGACGAGGATGGCGATTGAGAAAAATTTAATCTATGAGAATAACAAAAAACGAAAAAAAAAAATGAATAAAAAAATTTTAATAAGCATACTTACATACCTAAGCGCATAAATTAAACCAAAAATCCACATAAACCAGAATTAAGTAATAGTATCTAACGTTAAAACTTGCTATTATATTACGATTAATTAAAAATAAAATGAAAAATGAACATTAAACTAATAAACTAATTATTACGGTGATTATTATTATTGATATCGAGAATTTGCATTAAGTCGTTCGTGATAAAAAGAAACAATGGGAGAAGTAAAAATTAATTCCTCGATTATTAGAGAAAGAAAATGGTATTTAGGATGTATTTGTGATGAAGAAATCATGTGGGATGAGGGGGGCGATAGATCTTCGTTGTTTATTTAGTTTATTTTTTTATTGAAAAACATTTTAAGGAAGGTGGAATTAAATAATCATATTTCGGGGCTTTTTTTCGTCGACTTCACGTGAGCGAATGCCTGTGTGAGAGATGATGAACGACTCCGATGGAATTTTTATGTAAAATTACGCGACATTAAAAGAAAGATTTAACAAAATTTTGTATATATGCTCCGTGTGATAATCCCGATACGCGTATTAGTGTCTAATGTAACGAGCCTAATTAACAAATTTTAATTATGGTGAACGATTTGCGCGAGGATTGAGGCGCGGTTGACCTGGGAACGATTGAGCGAGAGAAAGCTCTCGGATTTTATTTCGATATCGTCCAAAATTCCAGGTAAAATCACCCCCCCCGTAAAAAAAAACAACAAGCTTTAGAGAACAGGTCATTACAAATTCCCTTGAATTTTTTTTTGTTCCACGCACATTTTTTTTTTAATCTGCAGAAAATATTCAGAGAGTCGTCGACAACTCCGGCTCTCGCATGAATATAATTTCCCGTGACACCGCTCAGTCACATACCAATCAGTACCGTCAAACGTTCATTCGCTGATTGATCGATCAATTTTCCATATTCCATCGGTTGGTTTTAATTTATCCATGAAAATGCCGCGAGTCAGCATATCTGCCGAAGATATAGCTCCATTTTTGCACGCAGTTCAATATTTTTTACTCATCATCAAATGATACACGGGGAGGCTGTCGATACTCCAGCTCCTCGATACATTAGACAATTCAAAATAGAAATAGACTGAATTTTCAAATTGATGATCAATCAGCGATAAAATAACGCTCAGCAAAGAATTTGGCATCCTCGCGGTATCAATACGGAACCGATCGCAATCGAACGCTCAATCGATCCCCGATAAATTCAGGAAATAATAGCGGGGGTATTGCGATATTATTGCGTTAAAGTAATCATTTTATTTCATGAAACTGTGAATGGTGCGGAATACGTTAGGGAGCCAAGTGTCCTTGATGCGACCGTCGTTGAGCCAAAGATCTCGCGATCTCACCTGATGCGATCTGATGCCAAACATTGAATGGATTTCCACAAAAATTAAATGGAAGTGAAACTTCGTAAGGGCCTCGATAGGCCCCGCCCACTTCCGTTACCCAAAAACGTTGCAGACTCCGCCCCTAAGGAGTTTCACTTCGAAATCTGATTGGATCGGCGAAACGAGATGAAGAGGATTTTTGACTGAGTTCGGAGCAACGGGCGAGAGACGTTCGGCGCAAACCGATCCTAGAGAATCTGAAGAGAAATTCAGATCGAGAAAGAAAAAATGGCAGAAAGAAAGATACGAATGAGCGAGATCGAGTGAAAGTGGGAAATTTTACAAAAAGTGGAAGATTAAAGAGAAAAATTATACAGAGAGAGCCGATCTCCTTGCCTACCGGGAGATCCGCATATATTGTAAAAAAAAAATTAAATAAATTAGTTGCGAGATGCAGAGAGTGAGAGAAACGGGTTTAACAAAATTTATAGGCCAGTTAATTTTAAGAAGAAATAATAATAATTAAATGAAGAAAATTTACCCCCTTTTCGTATATTCACTGCGTACTTTCGGCAATTCTTCTCTATTGGTACTGATTCCAGTAACAATGAACAATGTGTGAGTCTGCGTAAGCCAATGTTGAGTGAGATTAAGAGAGTGAGAGAATTCATAGATAAAAATCAACGAGAAAGGAAAATTATTGATATCAAGCTCCGTCGTCCGACTCAGTAGCGCGTTAAATCATCAGTCAATAATTGATAATTGGATAAACGATATTGGATAACAATTCGTTGAGTGATGCTGCTTATCATCAGGATGACACCCCCACCACGAGGACAACATATTCCTTGCAGTTTATCAATTACTTTTCCGTAAAGTTTACGTCAATCGTTTTTGATCAATCCAAACGCATGTTTATCTAAATCCAATTAGAATAATCAATGAATTATTTTTCGTTAATGAAATCGATTGATTTCACCACGAGTCCTTCACTTTTCCGTTCATTGAATGATTATTCTCCCACATGAAATTCCCCCGTTAGCATTGCTCCCAATATTTGAAGGATGCTCTTTCGATGGATTTAGATAGACCAATTGCATGAATTTGGATTACCACACTCAACCGCAAAGTAAATGAAAAAAAAAAAAAAACATGAATGTCACCCCTCAACAAGCAGTCATGTATGCTTAATCGTACATAATGTATAGTATATTAATATTTAAGAGTTAAAATGATAAAAAGGTGAAAATCTACGCAAAAAGCGTAACGAAATTAGGAAAATGAGGAAAACTTCCGAGAGTGGAATGAAAATTGAATACGGCAGCTGTGGCTAGAGCAACGGATGCAGCTATAAAACGTTGATTTGTGTGAGGATGTGAGCTACGGATCGCCGCGGCGTTGAGTCTTGAGTCCTCAGAAAATAATGCATATGTAATAAATAATCCATCGCCTCCTGACATAAAGACTTGGAGTCAAGAGGAGAGCGAAGAACGGAGCGATCTTGTGAAGATTGTGGAAATTGTTTTTCTGCGTTTCGTTGTTAATCAGACTATTGATTAGCAATACGGAACAATAATTATAACAGCGTACACTTTTTCGCCCAGCATCGACCATCCAGACACAAATACAATCGAACCAGATGCAACACAATGTTTTGGTCGTTAATTACTCTCACGACGTCGCCCTCTGTCGACGGCGTCGTCACAACAAAAGTGACGCTGTCACTGATCCGTCCTCACAGCTCGCCCCAGAGTGCGAGAAGCAGTTTTTTATTTTCAACAAACTGGATTTATTTGCAATAGAAGATACACCGGGATGAATAAGGAAAATTGAAAGGTTCGATTTTGAGAGGATGGACGAGAATTTGGGCGATGCATGTCTATTTTGAAATGAGCATTACCGTATTTAAACGACAGATTGTTTTCGTTACGATAAAATTTGTTCGAAGTTTCCGGCGTTATTGATCTTATTTCGGTTATGGAGACGGCTTATTTTTATTATTCGGTTGCGCACGAGAGGAAAAGTCAACAATGAGAGAACAATTGCAAAATTTCACGACGAGGCAGAACAAATTTTGATGATGGTTAATTGGGGATATAATGGTTAAATTATGGTTTCGGCATGGCACGAGGTTTTAATACATAATATATATATGGTGGTATATATAT